GTGTACTACTGTTTCATGAGAAACTATTTGTTCTGTAAGCCTTCGCCTTAAGTACAATTAAAAAAAAAAAAAAAGAGGCCTTAAAAATTCACAGCATCTCAACAAGTACAGTAATTAGCAAGTAACTAGGAATAATCTAGCATAAAGAAACTCTAAAAGACACCAAAAACGAAATAACTTGGAAGCAAAAATGAAATTTACCTTTAAAGAATTTAAATGCGACAAGCTACAATGCAAAACAAGAGAGATGGACCTAGCCTAATGAAAAGCCTAGAAAGGAAAATAAGGTGTAAGCATACTCTCTTCTCTTCAGGATGCTTAGAAAATGGTTCAATTAACATATCACTTACTACTTAATTTAACTGAGTTCACATAGCAAAAGCACTTCCATGAATGCCAACTCTCTAAGTTACTTAAAATTAAGGTTTAACTAAATTACCACTGCAGGGCTACCAGGTAGTTCCATAAATGATAGACTCAACATATGAAGTCAGTATTTAATAGAAGTGTGTAACAACTACTTTAGTTATTATTTTATTAAAATAGAAAACTATCACTCATAAAAATATGTAATGGTATCTATCATACTTACGCTGCATAAGCTTTTGCTATCCTCATGAACATCACTTCATCACCTCCTTTATCTGGATGATATTTAAGGGACAACAAACGATACTGTTTCTTAATTTCTGCTACTGTTGCCCCCTAAAAGGAAAAACTTTGTGTTAATAAAAATAAGCACAATGCTATAAAGAAATAATGCATTCTATTTTGAACTTAAAACATGAACTACTCAATAAATATTTTAAGAATGAAAAGTTTCATCTCATATATTTTGTCTCATAAATTTCATTCCATATATTTTTAAGTAAAAATATATTTCGTCCAGCATATTTGTTCTTTTGAGCACCTACTATGTACCACGCAGTATGCTAGGCACTGAGGATTTGGCAGTGAAACCACATAATGCCACATTTACATAAAATAAAAGGATACTGGTATTTAATATCAAGGAATGATCAGAGTAAATTAAGTGTGGCTGAAAGAACCCTCAAATCAAAGATTAACTACTTCCTTTATAATCTGAGGAATACCTGGTTTAGTTTCATCTGCTAGTCATTATTTCAATATTAAGTAAACATTTAATAAGTTTACTTTAATTTTTTCCTAATTAGTTTGCTGGATTCTCCAAGACTCATAAATTCTTTATGTTGCTTTCTTATGGCATTAAACTGCCCTGAAACCTTTTAATCTAAAAAATCTCTCTTGATGACCAGGATCATCACAATAAGAAAAATTAGATGATATACAAGCTTTTCTTCTACAAAGCAGAAAACTAGAAGACAAAGATACTCCTTACTTTGTATTATATAAATCTTTGAATAAAGCCATCTACTTAGCAGAGACAAGAGATAAAAGGAAGGGATCTGGGGAGGAAAAAATGGAAAAAGCATTAAATTAAGTTCAGCCACTAAGAAGCTATGGGATCTCAAAAAAGTCACAAATTTTCCAGGCCTCATTTTCTCTATCTAAAAAAAGGCTAAATGATCTCTACCATTCATTTCAGTTCTAATATTCTCTGAGAGACTTAAAAGACTACTTCTCTACTGGGATTCATCACTCAAACACAATCAAAAGATCACCTAAGAGGCACACCCAGGGTTAACCTGAATTTCTATAACACTGACCAACCAAATCAGTTCTTTAGAAGACTCCAACCATGACTTAACACACTGCCGAAGGGGCGACCAACACAAGGCCATGTGATTTTTATCATTCAGCTAATAATATAAATGAAGTTCCTGGTTTTATTTTGCATTAAACCAGTCTTACTTTTAAAATATGCAAACTTCCCATCTTCAAATAGTCTTACATTCTAGCAATTACAAGCCAATCCCTAATAGAACGGCAATCAACATCTGGAGTTTGAAAAATATATACACATTAGAAAAATGGATATTTTATTTTAATAAAAAAAAATTTAACTGATCAGTCTGATTTCTTTAGGCATGACCTAATTTCTTTTCTGATGTGGGCCTACAGTATTTTCATGAAATCATTAAATGAATGTGCATTATATAAAAAAATACTACTTACAGGATCCAAATTTAATACTTCATAAGGATTGTATTCTTGATATTCTCGGTCTGTTTTGGAAACTTTGTATGTAAGGAATAAAAGCAATGCCCATCCTGTAAGCAGAACTATTTTCCTGTTTAGGAAAAAGATAAGTACAAATAAATACATCTGTACGGATTCCTAACACCAGCAACTCTTTCAACTCCTGTCATAGTTTCATCTATCACCTCTGAACTGATGACCTGGGATGAAGGTCCAAAGCCTAGGCTCTAAACCCAGCACACCCCACAGTCTCACAGAATCAAGTAGGCTGGTTCTAATTAACCATGCTAATGGCCTGTTTCAAAAGAAGGACCTGCCAAAATACAAAGTGATTAAATCCATTCTCCACCACTCCTAGCTGCGTGACCTGTCAAGTTACCTCATCTTCCTTAGCCTCAGTTTCCTCATCTGAGAAAAAGCAACAAAAACATCTACCTTGAAGTTAACACAGAATTAAATGAGATAATACAAAAATTCCTAGCACAGCATCTGGCATACAGTATGTGCTCTACAAATCTTAATTATCACCATGAAATACAAACTTGACCATGTCACTTTCTTGCTTTTAAAATCTTTTAAAATTCCCTCATAGCCTTTAAGATAAAATTCAAATCCTGACACATGGTGTTCCTCCTTTCCCAAGTGAGAAGTACAGTCTCCTGCCTTTGATCTTCTAAGCCACTCTGTTTAGACACAATTTTCAAACTTATCAATCACTTGGATAGGCTACAAGTTTTTACAGGCACAATATCTTACTCATCATACCCCTATTTCATGTATCTAGCAAAAAGCAAGCATTGTGTTGTTTTTTTCATTTAAATCCATTACTTACTTTACTGTAGGAATAATATTTGGCTGAGGTTTTAATAACCGTAAGCGATACCACATACATCTTCCATACACTTTTCTGATATTCTTTAATCGAATTTGCTCTGTCAAAAAAGAAAAATAAGATGATAAGTAAAACCATTTTTCACAGTTAAGGCAACACCAAAGTTAACAGAACGTTGACCTTTATATTATTACATTATTGGAGCATGAAAATACTGAGTATTCTAACTTTTTAAAAAATTTACAAAGTAGGTCCAATTTTCAGCCATTTAGAACAATGAGTCCACCTGGAAAACTTTATTAAAGTATGAGGCAATCATTTTTCATGTAAAGCTTAAGGAAATAACTTCTCATTGAAAAATGCAAAAAACGACTTGACCACAAAATATTTAGTCATAAAATTCAGTAATTTCTAAGAAATTTTCCTTCCTCTTTTGCTACAAGAAACAAAAAGCATAAAATAGTTAAATCGTGTGATTTACTTAGGAAGCTAAGCAGAAATAATACTCTTCAAAGAAGAAAATAATTGCTTACCAGAATATTTCCTCATCAGCAAAGTTTAGATTTCATCTATTTAAAATATAAAACCAATAGGATTTGGAGCTTTATGATAAAATTAACTTTCAGTCAAAACAAAGGTGGAGTATATTCAATATCTCAAATTCTAATTTTTCTAAATTAAGTTTTAAAATAAAAATCTATAAAATTATAGTCCTTAAATGACTTATGAGATAAGTGAAAGAACTTTGCATACAATAGGATGCTTCAATCAAAGGAGCCATGTAAGAGGTCCAACTCCTTATACCACCATGCTTTGAGGAAGGCATCCACCTGGGAAAGCTACCTAGCAGGAGGTACCAGAACCATGTGTGGTGAAGAGAGATCTGTGTAGTAAAGGGTTATGAGGTGGTAGGAGAAAAGGAGACTGGTTATATACAGGGGCGAATTACCAAATAAATTAATATATTAAGGATAAATGGAGTTAGTTTTTTACAGAGAAGGGAGTTACAAATATGAAAAATAGAAAACAAGAATAAACCCTGTGCTGTTCGACCGGAATTGAAGGCAGCAGTGTGAACTGTCTTTTAATATAAAAATACGGATGTAAATATATGTACATACATATATATTCTCTAACTCTTGCTTCTAAATAAGCAGGCTTAACAGCAGAGTGATATCCCAATAGCAGTGGGCATACCTAGCACCCATATCTTGGCTTCTTACAGGAACCAGGGATCCTTGGAGACACTACTGATTTCGATACTTAGTTAGCAAAAGCACAGAATGAATCTGAAATATCTTGTTGTGCCAGAAAGCAAGAAAGTGCTCAAAGAATGATGGGGCATATTAAAAGGACACTGAAGCCACCATGATGGGGCTCCTCTGGCCAAACTGAGGACAATCTGAGCATCAAAATAAATAATAACAGATTATAACTCACTGAATAAAATAGGAAACCATTAGATATAAATAGGTAAAAAGTTTTATAATGATCAAGATATTTATAGTTCCAAGCATCTCCCCCAAAAATATTAATTACAAAGGGAGAAAAAACAACTTCACAATGGGGAAGTATGTTAGACTGAATACTTGTTCCTCTAAGATGCACAGTCCTAAGTTCCGGAACTTACATGGCAAAAGGCACTCTACAGATGTGACTAAATTAAGGATGCTGAGATGGGAAGAGTAGCCTGGATTACCCAGGTGAGCCCAATGTAATCACAAGGATCCTTGTAACAGAGGCAGGAGGGTCAAAGACAGAGAAGGCAGAAGTTGTAGCGATGTGCTTTCAAAATGGAGAAGGAGCCACAAACCACAGAATGCAGGCTGTCTCTAGAAGCTAGAAAAAGCAAGGAAACATATTCTCCACAGAGCCTCCCTCCAGAAGGAGCTAGCCTTTTTGACACCAGTGAAACTGACTGCAGACTTCTGTTCTGTTCTTTGTGTTGTTTTTAGCCTCTAAGTTTATGGTAACTTGTTACAGCAGCAATAGGAAACGAATACAGGAAGCATGGCAGACACCACCTTAACCAAGTGATTGATGAACAACATCAACCACGGACACATTGAAATCGTATATAATCTGATAGAATGTAATGAAAACACAATCAGTTTTGTGAAATTCCTGCCTAATACATAATCTGAATATAATCATAAGAAAACATCAGACAACCCAAATTAAAGTTCATTCTACAAAATGTTGGCCTGTAATCTTCAAAGCTGAAGACAGGCTGAGGAACTGTTTCAAACTGAAAGAGGCTAAAGACACATGCCAAATAATGTGATATGTGATTCTGAACTGGATTGTTTGCTCTAAAGGACACTATTCAGACAAGTGACAAAACTTGAATGGGGTTTGAATAACATAGCAGTAAAGTTAATTTTCTGATTTTCAAGGTTAAATTATGGACATTTTGAAAATACCATTTTTGTTGTTGTTGTTGGGTTTTTTTTTTTTTTTTAATCTACATTTCACTCTTTAAAGACCTCTCTAAAGTGTTAAAAAGTGAAGATGTCGCTTTGAGGACTAAGGCGTGTCTGACCTAAGCCATGGTATTTTCAATCACCTCATATGCATACGAAAGCTGGACAATGTATAAGGAAGACCAAAGAAGAATTGGTGCCTTTGAATTATGGTGCTGGCAAAGAATATTGAATATACCATGGACTGCCAGAAGAATGAACAAATCTCTCTTGGAAGAAGTACAGCCAGAATGCCCCTTAGAAGCAAGGATGGCAAGACTTCATCTCATGTACTCTGGACATGTTATCAGGAGGGACCAGTCCCTGGAGAAAGACATCATGGTAAAGCAGAGGGTCAGTGAAAAAGAGGAAGACCCTCAACGAGATGGACTGACAAAGTGGTTGCAACAATGAGCTCAGATATAGCAGTGATTGTGAGGATGGTGCAGGACCAGGCAGTGTTTCGTGCTATCGTACACAGGGTCACCATGAGTCGGAACTGACTCGACAGCACCTAACAAAAACAGTAACATATTTCACTAAATCAAAGCATCAATCAATGTAAGAAATCCTTAAAATAGTCTCCCATTTTCAAGTATAAAATCAAGGAAATGTTTGATAAGGCTGTAAGAACAATGCTGAAGTCTCTTTACGAACAAGACAGCTTGATCTATTTAAAGGAATGATGTTCTAATGCCCCTGCCCAAGAGAGAATACATACAGTTTTCAGCCCCTCCACAGTCTTGCACAATGTATGCACACATCTTGTATGCCCCACTCTTCCAAACTAAAAATTAAACCTTAACCTTTGAGGAGAATACTTAATAAATACTACGGGGTATGGTTTACACATTAACATTGCGGCATTTAGATTTCAAGCACAGCTTAATATTCATGGTACACATTCCATGTATGAATGAATGACATTAAGTCAAAGTAACTATCACAAGTAAAGTCCTTTCAGTTTTTCTAAAGGACACTTTGAAGACTAAAAAGTTCATTTAAAACTTTTAGTTTATAAAATTACTAGTTTCATGGCTACTAAAAATTCTTAGGAATATCATTAACTTACAGTATTTTAAGTATCTACAATTATTATTCAAATTTACGCACCAATCATTAATGCCAAAGATGAAGAAATTGAAGATTTTTACCAAATTCTGCAGTCTGATCAAATATGCAATCAAGATGCATTGATAATTACTGGTAACTAGAATGTGAAAATTGGAAACAAAGACGGATCTGTAGTTGGAAAATAAACGGCCTTTGTGATAGAAACAATGTCAGAGATCGCATGATAAAATTCTGGAAGACCAGTGACTTGCTCATTGCAAATATCTTTTTTCAACAACATAAACGGCAACTATACATGTGGACTTCACCAGATGGAATACACAGGAATCAAATCTACTACACGTGTGGAAAGAGACAATGGAAAAGCTCAATATCATCAGTCAGAACAAGGCTAGGGGTGGGCTGCAGAACAGACCATCAGTTGCTCATATGCAAGTTCAAACAGAAGCTGAAGAAAATTAAAACAAGTCCACGAAAGCCAAAATACAACCTTGAGTATATCCCGATTTTAGAGACCATCTCATCACAACATCTACAATTATACAAAAAGAAAATTTCAAGTTCACAAAATTACCCTGTGATTTTAAAAAACAACATACCATGATTGCTGTCAGCAGACGAACATAAAGCTATTATGCTCAGGGTAGTCCAGGTCTGGGGGAGATTATTACGGTTGTCAGGTACCCTGGTGGCAGAAACCCCACAGGGCAGTTCTACTCCGTCCCACAGGGTCGCTGCGTCAGAACTGACTAAACAGCGACAGGTTTGTTTTTTTTGTTTTATTATGCTTGTGCTTCTTAAGCTATACAGTGCATATATTAGTTGTGTAGATCTGCCATAACAAATTACTACACATCACTGAGTGACTTAAAACAACAAACTTGTTCTCTCATAGTTTTAGAGGCTAGATGTCCAAGGTTTCTGCAGGGCTATGCTCTCTCTGAAAGCTCTAGGAAAAGAATGCTTTCTTGCCTCTTCTAGCTTCTGGTGTTCCCAAGTGTCCCCTGGCTTGAGGCAGCATAACTCCAATCTCTGCCCCTATCTCTACCACAAGGCCATCTTCCCTCTATGTCTGTGTGTCCTCTTCTTATAAGGACACCAATCATCTTAACTAAGAACATCTGCAAGGACCTATAAAGATTATAATCAGCATAAATCCCCACTTTTCACTTCTCTGTTCCATTCTGACATCAGCCATGCATGCAGCACTTCTTTCTCTGATTCTAGCCACCTGGAGCAAGGTCACATCTTACAAGTTAAAAGGACACCATCCTTCAGACTGCCAAATAGGCAGATAGCAACCACAAGTTTGGGAGTCTCTCCTGGGCTCCCTCACTTCTGACCTGCTGACTTTCACTACTCCCTCAGGCTGGATAATTCACTAGAACAACAGTAATTCACAGAGCTCATGGAAAGAAAGCATTATACTTTAAATTACAGCTTTATTGTAATGGATACAAAAGCAGGATTTACATAAGGAAGAGAAGCAAAGGGCAGGATTTGGGAGAGTTCCCAACACGGAGCTTCCGTGTTTCGAAAAGTGATGCACTACCCTCCCACCTGC